GAGCCCTGTGACATTGATGGTTCAGGACCAGAAGTTTCATCCTCTTCCTCTTTCTCTTGTCTGACTCAAGTGAGAATGATTCTGGTGCATCGGGAACCAGCAGCCCTTCTCCGTGGGGTACTGGGTGTATAGCTGATGGAATGTTTGGATAATGCACAGTCCACTTTTTCTTCTTTGACACACCTTTCCCAACTGGAGGCACCATGCAGAAGTAACAATTGCTGGTATGATCTGTTGGCTCTCTCCAAATCATTGGCACTGCAAAAGGCATAGATTTCCTTTTCCTGTTCAACCACTGGTGAAGATTTGTTGCACAAGTGTTGCAGCATATGTGTGGAGCCCACCTCTTGTCCTGATCTCCAATTTTGCAGCCAAAATAAAGGTGATAGGCTTTATTTATATTATATTATTTTATTTTATATTTATAACCATAGTGGTTATACTGCACTTTTGTGATGCAAAAGTCACTTCACCACAAACATATCAGAAGTTATCTGCACTGTTCACACAAGTACGAGGCATCTCTGCTCACTTTGGCTAAACAGAAATGTGTCCCTTTGCAAAATGAAACACTGACAAATAAGAGAGCACGACACTGTATGATTTCTAGAGCTGATATAGGGCAATTTGTTCAGCAGAGTGATGTAAGCTTCGTTATGATTGCATCATCCATGACTTCTAGGAATAACGTGATGCAATTCATATCATGTATGACGCAATACCAGCTTCAGATTGCATCATTCATTGTTTTGCCTAAAAACCAAGTACTGTCCAAACCCAGTAATAGGTTTATTCATAGATCCAGTCAGAGATGTATTTTAGTCATTTCTGGTTTAAATTGAGATCCCTTCCCTTTAGAACTCACTTATCCTCCGCCATTCCCAAGTCAAGGGTCGTATATACTGACCCAATAGAATATCTTGAAAACTAGAGCCAATCAACAATTTTAAGCATCATTTTCATTCTCAGTAACCCAGAATTAGTAAAGTTTGACTACACTTATTTCAGAAGCATTTTGGCTGTAGAGCAGTGTAATCTGTTTAAAAACAAAGTGTTTTAACTTGTGTTTACTCAGCTCATTCCATTCACAGGAATGAGGGCTCTGTACAGAGAGATCTATCTCCTGTTTATTTGTGGTTTTCCAGAAAGAAAACTTTTATAATAATCTAAAAAATTCTGTATATATTTGAAGTTTAAGTATTGTGAGGCACTTTTTTTAAACAATATAGTGAGAAAAGATAGTGATTGATATCTAATGCAGGGCTTCATAGAGTGACAAGATAGTAGCTGCATTCTCCAAGGATGCAGAAGTAAATGAAGTAAATTTTATCTGATATGAAGGTGGTTGATGGAAAACAATTTTATGAAGCTGCATCATGATAATACCAGAATACTTGCAGCAAGACACACACCCCCCTTTATATGGAGTCTCATTTATTGAGTCTCTTACAGCATATCAATCAAACTGTTCTTTTGTCCGTCAAGTCCAGCCCTTGCTCCCCTTGACTCAGGAATCACAGAGCACTCCTTCAGTGTCTGCCCTGATAACTCAGGCTGGCTGCTGTCCTGGATTAGCTTCTTCAAACTGGCCCTTTTCCGCTTCGTCCTTTGCTCCCAGGTAGGGCCATTTGCATCTCTGGAAGCTTCTCTTTTATCTCCAGGCCTGGACTGATTTAACCACATGATCTACCTGTCATTTGGCTCCACTAATTTTCCCCACTTGGGGAGGAGTGCTGAATGAAGCACAGGTGGGGCTGGCTCGATTACACCCTAAAGGGCCAGTCATCCTGTGACAGAGGATAAAGTGAGGCCTACAAATCTTGTGCAGACCAGGTGTCTTTGTAAAATGCCAGTGAAGACCTTGCAGCTCTTAGGCCATGCATAGGGTATCTTCATGGGTCAATGTTGCTCTTGGCACATATCCAGTAATTGCAGAATGGCTTCTGTCCCATCACCAGCTGCCCACCTCCCACCCCCACAATTGGTTAGAACTGTGCAGGGCAGTTACGGTTGTGCAAGGTACCACTAATGGTACAAGTTGCATAGTAACGTTCCCTGCCCTGGAATGGGAACTTTGTAGTATGGCTGTTCTCCCGACTCCTTCCATTTCTGTTGAATGTGACCCCTTCAGCCACAAGGACATGAGTCTCTGGGTAGCAACCATGAAGGTGCTAGGGACAACTGCACAAACTGACTGATGCTATCATAGCCGTTGCCTTTCCCTTCTGTGTATCCCTCCTTCCCCATGTAATTAGGCCTATTTTATCTCTGCACTGTGTAAGGAAAGGGGAGCACATTTTTCAGAGTGAAATTGCTACATTATGAGGAGTTTGCCCTTGTTAGATACAGTTTAAAATAAGTAATTTAATTAAATTATATTTTTCAGTTGCACATTTAACAATTACATCTATCAAAAATAGGGTCCATTATAATGCGGTGTGGTTTGTATCTTCAAACTACTAGGGGGACAGTGTATTACCTGTTATATGAAATAATGCAATGTTAGGAAGTTTTCTTGTTGCATCAACATTAGGCTTTGGCACCAGGTCCTGGGATTTTCCAACCCCAAGCCCAACAAACATCTCATTCTAATTTAGATGAGGTAATTCCCGGAGATAGAGAACAAAGTAACCTTTTCTACCCCAGTAACTTTTTAAAAGACTTGGGTACTAAATGTAGGGGAATTTCCTAATTCCTGGCTATGTGGGCTGACTCTGATTTTAATACAATGCAAATGTGAAACAAAGCAATAATCAGGAAATTGCACAAGCTGTGGCGATGAGGTTTGTCCTCTCTGGCTAAAATTTCCAAGAAATATGCTTTATTAGAACAACGTTTTTATTACAAGAAATATAAATGACTATGACTACACATAGGCACTGAGAGTTACCTACCTTATGTGAAAATCTGCTTTCTTTTTAAAAAAAATTAAACTGAATATTAGCTGTCGTGAAAATTGTGAAATTGGCAGCACTGGAATCTGAAGTCTTCTAATCTCACCAGGGCTTGCATTTCTCCAGGTAGAGTGACAGCAGGAGAAATGCAAGCCCTGCTTAACACTGCCCACCAAAGTGTTTCCTGCTTGACCTGGATGTTCCATCTAAGGGTGGGGGCAGTTGAGTCTTTATGCCTTTTTCTCACCTTAATGCCAACAAAACTACCAACTGGATCTGGATGTAGTAACTCAACAGAATATTCCACGTAGGTCCTCAGATCTCAGACATCATCTCTTGGTCACTACTAACCTGATCCAGATTTGAACCTGCAGTTTAGGAGACTAATTGCTCTGTGTCCCATCCTTATTTGCAAGCCCTTTCCCAGAAATAAGAGCCACATTTTTCAAATTCAGGTGCCTAAAGTGGAGCTGTTAAAATCATATTCAGGCACCTAAGCAGAAGTGGCATGATTTTCAAAGCTGCTGAGCAGCCCGAGGCTGATGCCCCCATTGACTTCAATGGGATTTATAGGAGCTCAGCACTTCTGAAACTCAAGCTACTTTTATTTAGATGCCTAATGATGGGTTTAGGTGCCTAACTGTGTTCACTCCAGTTGGAAAATTCCAGCCATGGCTCACAAAGAAAACAAGGTGACGCTTTAAACGTCATTCATCTATCACTCAGGAATTTAAATGATTGGCAAAAAAAATATGAATCTGTGTGCAATTACTCTTAATAACCCTGTAGGAATTACACGCACCTCAAAGGGGAAAGTCTTTATTTTGTCAGTAATTATAATTGTGTGTGATTTGCTTCCTCACACCAGGGGAATTGTACTAACCTGCCTGGCAACCGAAGGAATAGGTCAGATCCTAATGGCAGTGTTAGAAGGAAATAGCTTTATGCTCTATTGTGAATACCACATGTGCTACCACAATTCAAATCCTTCTGATTAAATACAGATGAAATAATAAGGCATATAATCACTAGAACAAGGACTTAATCATTGATTGCTTTCTACTTCACAGCTTATGAAAGGGGTTACTAGTAGATCGTTAGACACTGCCCTTTACATCAACATACAATTAGTTTCCCATCACCAGCTGCCTTACTCTTTGCTACCCGCCTTGCAACTGTTAAATTAAAATAGACATTGAGATGTAAAAGGAAAAGAGTGTTATCAAATTGCCTTGTTACTCATCTGAACACAACTGGTCTTCCACTAGGTCAATGAGCGGAGTGTTCTAGTGCTGAAGGGGCCAAAACAGGGATTAGAGCCCCATTGTCCTAGGCGCTATACAAACATCTAGTAAAGAGACAGTCATTGCCCTAGAGAGTTTACAATCTTGATCATCACAAGAAGGAAGAAGTTAATAAAGCAAACAAATATGGGGAGGAAGGAAGAGTTAGTAATAATAGGAGTATTTTTTCACATAGTCTAGCCCTGTACACAGTGTAGATTGCCACTGCATTGGAACATGCCTATGGTCTACCAGGCAACCAGGACTTCACTGAAAATGTTTCCTTTTCCCATAAATATAAATGTCAGGAAACATAGACATGGCACGTGACTAGTTTAAAAAGTGCATGTAATACAATAGCATATTGTACTTTTTCATTGGGGGGGTCTCAATTTAGGCAAGCACTTAGGTACATGCTTAAGTGTCTCTGAAGTCAGTGGAACTGACATATGCTTAAAGCTAAGCACTTACCTAAGTGCATTGCTCAATAGGGATAGACTTAAACACATGCTTTAGTACGTTCCTGAAGCAGAGGGTGGGACTGAGAGGCAGAAGATATGGGTTTTGTTCCTGTCGCTCTTCCTGACTCACTGCATGACCGTGAGCTAGTCATTTTACAACTTTATGCCTCACCTTCCCCTAAGCTAAAGATCAATTTAATTAACTGATTCCTAAAAAAATAAGCACAGCTTGCACCCTAGGTGCTTGAACAAAATAGGGCTATTAATACTGTGCCTACCTCATGGGGCTATTTTGTGTGTGTGTGTGTGTGTGTGGCTTTGTCAATGTTTATAAAGGGCTTTTAATACCTTGAATGAAAAGCAGAAGTGAAGAGCAAAGCATTGTTGTCCAAGTATAACTGATGAGCAGTTATTTAGAATTCTCAATGACTTGTCTTACAGACTTAAGTACTAACAATAAGTGTGAATGAGCAACTTGGTGTGATCAACAGCATAAAATCCTTCTTGAAAATATTTCCAATCCCCCAAAATGAAGACTATGGCAGTTTTATGACAAAGATCCTGTGATGAATTGGTGACCTGTTACTACTCTTTCTCCAGATTCTACTTTGAGGCAGTGAATTTCTGTTTCAAGTCAAATTACTGAAAGGTGTTTTATTCGATACTTCCCAGACAAGTGTCTCCTTATAACAGGAAGATAAATAGGGTGTTTGGCATGTCATCACTCACATGATCCCAAATATAACAGAAAGGAGAGCCTCATTTCTCCTTTTGAAATCTGTTTGGTTAATTCTGCCAATTGAGGAGTACTCTGTGTCCTCAATTGCCATTGTACTCAACACCACTGAGAACCTCGCAGCATCATGGCCAAGTGCATGGTGGCAATGAAATATAAAAATATTTCATATCATTTAGCAGACTGTTTTTTGCTATCATAGTAAATAGATTGAAGTATTTTTTTCTTTAATTTACAGGGCTTGTTACAGATTACAGGGTAAGTACAGTGCCCTCAGTAATAATAACAACATTGATTTATACATAGTAGCTTTTCTAAAAATATGTTTTTCTTTTAATTGTCACTATAGTAACTCAGACTTAACTTTTTTTTTTTCTGTGAAAGAGGCTCAACTTGCTGTTCCCTTGATAATTCTCTAAACGAGGAAAATCTAAAACTCCAGTCCCTATCTTTAAACCTTTTGTTTAAAAGGATGCGATGGTACAGATTTATACCAATTAACAACAAGGGGTAAGCAATGCAAGCCAAAACAGGGAAATAACTAATTAAAGAATATTTAGATAAATTGGATGTATTCAGGTCAGCAAGGCCAGATGAAATTCATTCTCAGGTACCGAATGAACTAGCTGAAGCAATCTCAGAACAGTTAGCAATTATCTTTGAGAACTACCAAATGACAGGTGAGGTCCCAGAAGAGTGGAGAAGGGTAAACATAGTACCTATCTTTAAAAAGGAGAACAAAGAGGGAATTATAGACCAGTCAACCTAACTTCAATACCTGAAAAGTTACTGGAACAAATTATTAAACAATCAATTTGTAAGCACCTAGAGGACATTAGGATTGTAAAGAATAGCGAGCATGGATGTGTCAAAAACAAATCATCCCAAACCAACCTAATTTCCATCTTTTGACACTGTCCCATATGACATTCTCACAAGCAAAATAGGGAATTGTGGTCTAGATGAAATTACTATAAGGTGGGTGTACAACTGGTTGAAAGACCATACTCAAAGAATAGTTATCAATGGTTGCTGTCAAGCTGGGAGGGTGTATCTAGGGGCATCCCACAGAGGTGAGCCATAGGTTCAGCACTAGTCAATATTGTCATTAATGAGTTGGATAATGGAGTGGAGAGAAGGTTTATAAAATCTCCTGATGACACCAGGCTGGGAGGTGTTGAAAACACTTTGCAGGACAGGATTAGAACTCAAAACAACCTTGACAAAATGGAGAATTTGTCTGAATTCAACAAGATTAAATTCAAAAAAGACAAGTGCGATGTACTTCACTTAGGAAGGAAAACTCAAATGCACAACTACAAAAATGGGGAATAACTAGGTAGGTGTTAGTGCCACTGAAAAGGATCTGGAGGTTATAGGGGATCACAAATTGAATATGAATAGCAATGCGATGCAGCTGTGAAAAAGGCTAATGTCATTCTGGGATGTATTAAGAGGATTCTCATATGTAAGATAGTACTTTACTCGGCACTGGTGAGGCCTCAGCTGGAGTGCTGTGTCCAGTTCTAGGCAGCACACTTTAGGAAAGATGTGGACAAAATGGAGAGTGCAGGGAAGAGTAACAAAAATGATAAAAGAGTTAGAAAACCTGACCTATGAGGAAAGGTTAAAAAGACTAGGCATGTTTATTCTTGAGAAAAGAAGACCTAGGGGGGACCTGATAGCAGTCTTCAAATATGTTAAGGGCTGTTACAGAGAGCATGGTGATGAATTGTTCTCCATGTCCACTGAAGGTAGGACAACAAGTAATGCACTTAACCTGCACCAAGGGAGATTTAGGTTAGATATTAGTAAAAAATTAAACTTTCTAACGATAAGGGTAGTTAAGCACTGGAATAGGCTTCCAAGAGAGGCTGTGGAATCCCCATCACTGGAGGTTAAGAACAGGTGGACAAACACCTATTAAGGATGGTCGAGGTTTACTTGGTCCTGCCACAGCGCAGGCAGCTGGACATGATGGCTTCTCAAGCACCTACAGTGCTATGATTCTGTGTCTGACTGATAGCTCTAGGCTTGGCCAACAGAAGGAATCTTCCTGAAGATATTTTCTTCAGACCATAGTGCATAATAGGTTATTTTAAAAACTAATTATAAATGTATTTTCTCCTAAAATGAAAATCTTTCTATTTCTTAAAACTTTATTTTAAAAAAAATTCTTTATATGGACCGTTCATGGTAAGTTTATGTCTATGTGCCTTATCTCACAAGGTGCTGAGCTCCTTGTGTAGACTTTAGTGGGAGTTTTGGGTGCAAGAACAATATGTGCTTTGTCTCATGATCACTATCTTCTGACACCTCCTTTCCTTTCCACTTTTGCATTTTAAACAGTTAGGTGTTGACTGTGCCAGTGTATTTGCCAGTACCAGAATAATCTTTCATGATTTGACCTATCTCTTAAGTTATTATACAGGGAGCCTCTGGAAGCTTGAACTATGGTCTATGCCAAAACTGGGTGTATAAATTGCGCTGTACCTGGAACAATGTCTTCTGACATGGAGACCCTTCCTTCTCAAATGCATTACTCCTTCTGCTTGCAGCACTGGCAGATCCCTCTCGGCCGAAGGTTTCGTTCCCTGAAAATGTGGTTTGTGTTTAGAATGTATGGAGTCAAGGGACTACAGGAGTACATCCGTAAGGTGACCTTCTTTTATTTTATGGGAAAATTTGTGTTGGAGATGGGGAGAGAAGAGGGGCTTAATAAGAATCCACATCTATGTGCCTTCTGCATATGTACACCTGCATGCATAAACAAAGCTTGTTGCACAGCCCAGTTCATGCAAGGGCCTGCCTTTCACCCTATGTCCTATCATGGCAGTTATGATCATTGGGGTCACAGCCATTGATCATCTTATGGTACAGTCTTGAGAGGCTGAGAGTTTTAGATGCCACATTAGTGACATCATTCAAAACAAAGCCAAGACTTTTCATTGATGCTTAGTTGTTGTATGTATTTATTATGTATTTATTATTTTATTATGTTGTATGTATTTATTATACATTAGGGTCAGGATTAGGGTGTATGCACCCATGATTTACCGGGCATGTTACCTAGTTTGACTGAAGCTAGTTTCAGGTGTTTCCTGCATGGAAGTGCCTTCAGGATATGGTTGCCTGCAGATTACAATTTATCCTTATTATGATTAAGTACTAGGGACATTCCTGCTTTGGTTACAGGGTAGTTTGTCATCACCGTAAATGCATGCGCTATTGTGCTGTATGGTGTACATACTTCTGTTGTAAATATAAAGTAAAACTGCAAAATACCTTTTATGTTTCCAAACTCAAGAGAAACTTCTGGCAAAGATAAAAATACAGGGCCAGATCCTGCAGTTACACTAGCTGAGGTTCTGGTCCAAAGTCTACAGCAGTAGAGATTTATATTTAATTAGCTATCTAACCTCTGATTCTGCCTGTTCTTGGTGGGAGTGTGTGTAGACACATGTGCCAAACTCTCCCAGGGACACATACTTCTTAACAAAAGTAGGACTAGTACCACAGTTTTCTTCCTTAAGAACCTTATGCGGACTAGCTAGTGGGAAGAGGAAGATGTTGCCCCATCATCTGCCTAAAATGCCTAGAGAGCTTCTCCCAGCGTTGGATGCCACTACTGTAGCAGATGAAGGATAAATGGAAGTTTTATGCTTTTTGTTTTGCTTTGTTTTTTATTTTCTTCTGCATAGATACCTTGTAATTTCTGTTTGGCTCCATGGACAACAATCTAAATGGGATTTTGATCCTTATTATGTTCTGGAGAAACATATTTTGGGGGCAACAATGACATTGGCTTTTTATCACCTCTGATACAATCCAAAAGTGAAATTTTGGATCTCCTGTCTTTCTCTTACTGAAGTGAAAATGGGCTCACCATTTGTTATACCTCAGCCATTATTGGAGCTTTCACTGCATTGGTCTCTCAGGTCAGGTTTTGCAGATGGCAATTAATTCAATTTACTGGCAAGGTTTTAAATAGCACTAAATCTCATATTCTTCTGGTGGCAGAGTTGAAGTCCTCACGTTGATTACATGTACTTTATTGGATTAGTGTTAATACCTTATTAGTAACATTCAAGAAACTTGCCTGGCCTTTCTCTCTTCTCCCAAACATTTCCCTGTGTGCTCAGTGAGCAAATACTTGCCTTTTTAGAGTCCCATAGACACCTTTTGAAGGCAATTTTCCCATAATGTCTGGAAATGCATCACTTTTGTAAAGCTATTGACTTCAGTGGAGATGAACCAGGGATGAATGTGGCTCTTCATGTTTCTGAATAGACTTTTTTCCTGGTTTCTAATTTAACTTAATCCTAATGTTTTAGATTAGGCCTTTACAGACGTGCTGGGGGGGGGGGGAGCAAGGGGTGTAATGTTATTTCCTTGAGCACTAGAAAGAGCTGTGGGATATAGTTCTCCAAAAAAACAACCCACACATGGCCAAATTATGACCTCACACGTCACACTTGTGACTTCAGTAGCGTTACATGGGTATAATTGAGAGTAGAATTTTGCTTACTGATTAATGATTAGTAGTGATTAATGAGTGATTAATTTAGACTCGATTTCTTCCATTTGGAACGAACGATGGCTCATCACATTCTCTGGCTTTCATTGCTTCTCTAAAAAAGTCTCCTTTGTTTCTCTCAGTGGAACTGCAAGGGCAAGGACTGATTGAGCTTTGGTTGTTTAGTAATCTAGATGACAAGATTGGTCTTTTAGATCAGTTGCCTTCTGTGAGATTGCAAACATTGCAATATTGTTACAAACTGTACCAATGCCCACCAACAGCAGTTATAATGTGTTCCATACCTCCCTTCCCCATTTTCCTCCCCTCCTCTTTCCAGAAACCATTCTTTATTCCCAAAGATACTGTGATGAATTTCCTTTTGGTGGTTGTAGTAATAAGGAATGTTATAAACTCTGATAATGGATTATATTGCAAAGCTGTAAACAGTTTCCCAAATGAAAAAACTCTTGAAACTTAATCTCACTTTCCCACCCCTCATCAGTCTTTAAGGATTTGTATAATTCCAGGCCTTGGGAAGTTCTTTCCATTTAAACATACGGTAACATCTCAAAAATAATAGTTTTCATACTTCCAGTGCTGGTCAAGGCAATCCTTCTAAAAAGAACAGCCAGTACTAGCTTGTAGGTTACACTTGGTGTTTCATTTGATTTGTGCCACAAGATGATCCCTGAAGTTGCCAGAACTATTTCTCAATCAGCATTTAAAGAGACAAGAATTAGTTTTTGTGTTTGCTACACTTGGTCACATAGTGCAGTGAAACAAGACATGAATAAATCCTGCAGTCCTCTGTGGGTAGATTTACGCTGCAAAGAAAAACCTGCAGTGCCGAGTCTCAGAGCCTGGGTCAATTCACTCCGGGAGCTGAGGCTGCAGGGCTAAAAATAGCGGCTAAAACCCAACCTGTTTGGGGTGGAGCCTGGGCTGTGAAACCCAGCAAAGGGGGAGGGTTTCAGAGACCAGGCTCCAGCCTGAGTGGGAATGTGTATGTTGCTATTTTTAGCCCTGCTGCCTGAGCCCCTGAGCCAGAGGCAGTCGACCTGGGCTCTGAGACTCCGTGCCATGGGATTTTCTTTGCAGGGTGGACATACTCTGTGTGGACATTCCAGGCCTCAAATACAGTGGGAATGCTGTGTTTCTGCTGCACTGGTGAGCAATCAGTGAAGAGGCCAAAGGGAATCCAAAGCATGGAGGCCTTACTTGTAGGTTTGGGGAGTAGGATCCCATTTCGTCCCTGCTACTACAAAAGCCACCTTGCTAATTCCTAAGACACTTAGGCACTTCAGCAAATTTCATCCAGTGCCCACAGGCAGTCCCGGTGCAACCCATTAGGCGACCTAGGTGGTCACCTAGGGTGCTAACATTTGGGGGGCAGCGACCGGATTTTCGGCCACCCCGGTTGTCGTTGGTATTTTGGAGGCGGGACCTTCCGCCGCCTCTGTCGGGGGCGGTATTTCGGGGGTGGGACCTTCCGCCGCCTAGGGCGGCAAAAAAGCTGGCGGCGCTCCTGCCCACAGGAAAAGCACTTTTACTCTGATTCCACTTGTGCAGCCAGGATTTAGCCCAAAAGTTTGGAATTTTGAGAGATGACAACTTCTGACAAGTTGTAGCAGGGGAAAATGCCATAATCTACCATTTTAGTGCTGTGATTAGAAGAGATGAGATGTCTCTTTTGAAAAAAAAAATATTGGTCTTAAAATATACCTGATACTGGCTGTTCACATCCAGATCTTTTTTTCTGCCTTCCATCTCCCCATAGTCCAAACAGTTGTATTTTTTAAGAAAAAAAAAGTATTTTTTTTAGCAGTTAAAGATGGTTGCTGTGTTTGCAGCTTTCAAAGTCTGTATCTGACTGAATGGATAACCACTGCAATCTGGCACATGCTTGTGTTGAGATAGGCAGCTAAGGAACAAAATATTCCTGGGATAGGAGCATGGGTGACTTTGGTTTAATTATAGCATCATGTTTTGCTTCTAAAACCTTTCAGTTTATACTCCTTATCATTTACAAAATGGAATATCAACACACTGCAATGTAAAGAGTTTAAAGAGGGTGTATTGGGGTGAGGAGGAAATCACTGCCAAGAATTTTTTGGGGAGAAAATTGTGTGTTTTGGAAGTAAATTCCAAGATATGGAGAGGACATCAGGAGGGCAACAGTAAATAGCACAGGAGAATGAATAAGAGCACTCAGGATTGCCCTGTAATCAATTGAAATGTGAGACTCAAAGCAGAAATGTGTCCATTTTTAAACCACTTGAGAGTAAGCTAGTGCTGTGTTGCTGTAAGTCAAGTAAAGTGGTCATGAGCTAGCAGAGAAACTTAGCTTTCTGTCCTGTCTGTAATATTTGTTCCATAGGTATATTTTTAAAAGTTATTTTTTACCTGTGATCCCCTGGATGTTCTGATTCATTTGTTCAAATACATCCCCAATAGCTTCAAAAGAAATTGGCCTGAATATACTTTTTACAATAAACAGTTCTTCTGTTCTTCACCAATGATAGGGGACTGAATTCTGCTTAAAACTAGCAGCAGAGCTTACGGACCAGCTGGAAGGGCATAGAGAGTATATTGCTCTTCTCTGTCTGCAGCTATACCACCTCAGGTGGTGATCTTTCCAGTCCGATTTTCATAAGCCAAGCAGGCTTGGGCTGGGTCAGTAATTAGATGTGAGAACTCGGAGGGAAACCTCATGTGCTATCTAAAGTGCTATTGGTGATTCAAGATGGCATCCTTCCCAGTACTGAGCCCTTGCTCAAGAATGCTCTTATGGGTCACCGTGCTTTTTGGAAATGCCATCTTTTGAATGAGTGATAAAACCATTTGTTAACGATCTTGTGGCATTTCCCCCCCACAAAATTAAGGGTTTAACCTTGGTATCCTGCCCAAATTCCAATTCAGAGGAAAAACAATCCTTGCTCCAAAAATTTACAACTGAAATTGGACAACCAGGACAGATACTGCATTGGGGTGTGATTGCTTCCCTTCCCTTCCCCTCACAGCCCAGAAAAAGGGGAGTATATGAGGGCAGGAGGGTATAGTGGGTAAGACACCTTTTGGTTCCTCTTGATTCCAGACTGCTGCAGGGTCCACTCAGCCTTTGGAGGGCTGCCAAAGTCAGGCAGCTCAACCTGAGCTACCTGTGAGCAGCTGCACCACCATGAAGCACTCTGTAGTGCTATGCACCCCACCTCTTGTTGTCTTCAGCCCAGCCCCAGCGCACCCATTACACCAGAGCTTGAAAGATGGTGCTTCATAAACCAGCCTGGGAAATTATTCCCTGCATGGTTCCAGCGCTTCTGGTTTATGTATGGACCCATAGCCAAAATCACATCCCAGATGACTGATGAAGATGTAATCTTGTAGTGCCTTTTTTTTTTTTAATTAAATGAATTTTCATTGAAAGGCTTCACAGGAGTGTGTGCGTGTTTAAGGAGGGATTTTAATGAAAAAGAGGGTTGTTGTTTGGGAGACAAAAGGGACTCTGTTGCAAGCATAGAGGGGAGACTGAAGAAGGTGGCCTCAAGTTGAGAATGGGGGAAGCAGCAGTAGACAAGCTGCAGCTTGTGAAAAGCACAGACAAAAGAGGGGGCAGAATTGTATAGAATTTGAACATGAAGACGATACTAGTGATGGTATCTGAAGTGGGAAGTGACCTGGTCCAAATGACAGGAGAGAAGGGTGATTTTGGTAGTAATATTCTGGATGGCCTGGGAAGGTCTGCAAGATGAGATTCAGAGAAGACTGAGAGGAGAAAGTTGCAGAAGGCTAGGAAGAGATGAACATGCATACAAGAGATGCTATGTAAGTTTGTGTGTACACAAGCATTACTAAATCATAGCAGCTTTTGAAGGATTTGCAGATGAAACTAACATACAGTGTTCAAATGCCTTTACAGCAGGTGTTGGCAAATTTTAAACTTTGTGGACAAAATCTTAATAAAGAGAATGCCTCGCGAGCCTACCTCTCTCCCATTCATGATCTCATAAACTGTCTCCCTTCACCATTCACAATGACACAGACCACTTCTTCTCCCATTCACAATCACATGGACCAGCGCCCATTTTTATTTTTATTTAGCAGTCCCAGAACATGCCACTTCCATATCCCTGGTAAGGACAGCAGTTGCTTAGCTGGAAAATGTTAGGAAAATACTTTTAGCTGCTTTTAATGAAATTTAGCAGCATGAAATAAAAAGACAACCTGTATCAAGAGGCAGGCCAGCCAGCTAGCAGCAAGGGCTCTTCAGATCACCATTATGTGGCCCATGCACCACAGTCTGAGAACCCATGCTCTAAAGGAACTGTACAATCTCAGTGGAAGGACAGGACCATAAACAGTAACAACGACAGGGTTTTTTGTATTTAAAAAATGAAATCAAATTTTAAACATTAAAATAATATTAGCATGGTAGGACTATGGCTTCAAAATGGAAGAAATTTGGAGGTAAGGCATTTCTCTCCTTCAATAACTACTCCATTTGTATCTCAACATAGCAGGAATCTAAGAACAGTATGTGATCTTCCCTCCCATGCGTCTGACGAAGTGGGTATTCACCCACGAAAGCTTATGCTCCAATACATCTGTTAGTCTTAAAGGTGCCACAGGACTCTCTGTTGCTCCTCCCTGGTGAGTGTGCCCTCAGTTCAACAGGCAGGGCTTCATTCTCACAATTTTCATATATTGCTCATAGGATTGAGATCTCTAAATCCTGGTATCCTGTTGTGAACTATCTTAATTCTGCTGCAGTACCTAGGTACAACAGCTTGAATTGCAAATGGAGAGAGAGGCCTACACTCCAAAATCCCTTTGGTCTTGTGGATTTTAAGCTTCAAATCTCAATAATGTTCGACTCTTTTGTATTTACTGCAGTATGGATTATTAGCACTGCAGCAGTCTTTGTGAAAGTAATCACGAGCAATTCTTCCTGGCTCAGCAATGCCGGCCTTTGGCAGCTGTGATTAACTTAATTGTATAGCATGCTGAAACTTTTGGGAAATAAATAAACTGTAGTCTCTCCTTTTCCGTTGTGTAAAACCCAAAGCACTTGGCGCCCCCCAACGTCTTTACTGATTACTGCTGTTATTAAAGTTCTCCCTCAGCTAAACACAATTGTACTGCAACTTTTCTTATTACCTGTACTTCCATAGCATCCAACTTCAACCTTTTTTTTTTTTGCTTTGTGCTTATTTTCTTTAAGAGATTTTATTTTTATTGTCTAGCAAACATTTTAGTGCAAAACTGGACAGAGATGTCATCCAGAAAAATGTAATAATAACTATTCGAGGTTTTCTGTACAAACTACTTACAATGAGCTAAATCCAGAACACTTTACTAAGTTTTTGTTCATTTCTTACTTAGACAACATGCCTATTATGTTCAGTGAGAACTTTGTCCAAGGATTGAGTAAAAAAGTAAAGGTTTCAAGATTTTGCCCACTACGTTTAATTATATCACACCTAACTAAAGCACATACAACACAGAACAGGTAAATTTCTGTCCCCATTAAAGTCAAGAGGATTTTGTATAGTATACATGTACAGGGCCATGTGCCCTGATGTACACCCTATTCCATGGGTTTTATGGAGTGTAATTTGGGCTACAGACATAGAATATATGGTTATATCAGGGTACAGAATGTATGTTACAGTACAAGATATAATGTACATATATTTATATATTACTTGTATCTTTCACAGTCATGAACCCAGTATTGTTTATATTTGGTTGTATCCATATGCCTCAGACAAGATTGAGGTCTTACTGTTTTACAAGACTTGATTCCTGGCCAGAACAGCAACCAGTCTAATTTAAGCCAAGATGGAACAAATGAATGTAATAAACAGTGGGGAGAAAGTGGTAACAGCAATAAGAACAGCTGATTCCATAGGCTATCAGTGTGCATAATCTGAAAGTTCTAAATTAGACAAGGTTTTTCTATTTTAAGAAACAAACATCAGAAAGCTATAATTAAGATTGCAAGATGTCTTTCACTGTAATTTCTGTTTTTACTGGTTCATGACTTTTGGAAAATCTCCTTATAAGCTGAAACATTCCACGTTTAACTTCAGCCCAAAGCAATATTTTTGTTTGATATTTTCCTTGAACTTTGAAAAACAAAGTGTGGAAGACAAAAATACACATGATTATTTTGTGGAATGATACTTAAAAAAAATAATTATGGCAGTTCGAAACCCATTCCTCCACATGTGCCTAACCATTCTTAGTGAGGAGTAGTCATGTTGTGCAAAAAAATTGTAACTCCAATGGTTTGATTTTTCAAAGGTGCTGAGCACCTGTAGGTCCATTGATTACAGTGGGATGGAAGGGGGAATTGGGTGAGGGAACCACTCTGAGTAGAACAGGCAGAACCAGGACACCTATTCTTTTACTGTCAAATGCTGCTGCTGCTCCATCTACTGGCAGAAAAACTAGGAGTACATATAACTCCCTAATGAGGTTCTGACCACTTCTCCTCTTCTTTCAGATTCCCATACCTAATGATTCCTCACTTGAAAGATGAACTGGGAAGGCCAACAGGGAGCTATGCTCCCACATACTACCACTTATTTAACCTCCGCTCCTTAGGCTGCAAAATATATACTTAGAGCATGCATAATATCAGCGATGGTGTTGCTCTAAGAACCTTCATTTTGTCATTTCCTGAATTCTGTGTTTTCAGTTTGCAACCTTAATACAAATTTTTGAAGTGTGTGTGTGTGTAAGTTGGGGGGAAATTAATGTTAAGACATTGCTTGGATGTTAAGACTTCCCAGATCATTACTGATCTACATACTGGTATTTTTCTTGATATGTCTGATTTCTAAAATAAACTGCAACAACTTCACACACACACACACACACACACACACACACACACACACACACACACACACACACACACACACACACACACAC